CTTCCACTGAGGAAGCGGAACCTGGGGACTCTGGGTCGGGCCCTCCAATCTCTGGTGCTGAGGTCACCGAGGTGGTTAAAAAGCTCCTTGGTGGCAGGGCCCCAGGGGTGGAGGAGATTCGCCCGGAGTTCCTTAAGGCTCTGGATGTTGTAGGGTTGTGTTGGCTTATGCGACTGCAATATTGCGTGGACATCGGGGGAAGTTCCCCTGGATTGGCAGACTGGGGTGGTGGTCCCCCTATTCAAAAAGGGGGACCGTAGAGTGTGTTCCAACTACAGGGGAATCACTCTCTTAAGTCTCCCTGGTAAGGTCTATTCGGGGGTTCTGGAGAGGAGGGTCCGTCGGATAGTCGAACCTCGGATTCAGGAGGAGCAGTGCGGTTTTCGTCCTGGCCGTGGAACACTGCACCAGCTCTACACTCTCAGTAGGGTCCTGGAGGTTGCGTTGGAGTTTGCCCAACCGGTCTACATGTGCTTTGTGGACTTGGAGAAGGCGTTCGACCACGTCCCTCTGGGGACCCTGTGGGGGGTACTCTCAGAGTATGGGGTACCGGGCCCTTTGATACGGGCTGTTAGGTCCCTGTATGACCGGTGTCAGAGCCTGGTCCGCATCGCCGACAGTAAGTCGGGCTTGTTCCCGGTGAGAGTTGGACTCTGCCAAGGTTGCCCTTTGTCACCGATTCTGTTCATAACTTTTATGGACAGAATTTCTAGGCGCAGCCAAGGTGTTGAGGGGATCCGTTTTGGTGGCCTTAGGATTGCGTCTCTACATTTCGCAGATGATGTGGTCTTATTGGCTTCATCAGATCGTGATCTACAGCTTTCGCTGGAGCGGTTCACAGCCAAATGCGACGCGGCTGGGATGAAGATCAGTTCCTCCAAATCCGAGGCCATGATCTTGAGCCAGAAAAGGGTAGAGTGCCCTCTCCGGGTCAGGGAGGAGGTCCTACCCCAAGTGGAGGAGTGCAAGTATCTTGGGGTCTTGTTCACAAATGAGAGGAAAAATGGAGCGTGAGATCGATAGGCGGATAGGTGCAGCATCTGCAGTGAAGAGTTGGTGAGATGTTCCGAACACGTCCCACCGGGAGGAGACCCAGAGGAAGACCCAGGACACGTTGGAGGGACTATGTTTCTCGGCTGGCCTGGGAACGCCTCGAGATTCCCCCGGAAGAGCATGCCCAAGTGGCTGGGGAGAGGGAAGTCTGGGCCTCCCTACTTAGGCTGCTACCCCCGCGACCCGACCCCGGATAAGCGGAAGAAAATGGATGGATGGATGGGTGTTGCAGTTTGTGGAAAATACAGAACTAGTTTCTTCTCAGACATTCAAAGCTGGTTTATCCTCAAACTTCTGGTTGTACTGACATTCTTTGAATCAGGTTAATTTATTTCATTAAATAATTCACTTTTTTTATCATGCTGCACAACCTGATGTTTACTGTAGAAAACAAACTGCCACTTTTCAATGATTAACCGTATCTAATGGATACTCTGAGTAGAGCTGCTGCTGTTCCACGTCTAGAGAAGACATTTCTCTGGGGAGGTGTTCCAGACATGTCCAACTGAGAGGAGACCATGGGGAAGACCTAGGAAATGTTGGATAGACAGTCTCTCTGCTGGTCTGGGACCAACTTGGAGCCCTCCATGAGGAGCTAGAAGAGGAGGCTGTGGAGGAAGAGGTCTGGACATCCTTGCAGGAGATGCTGACTCCAGAGGAGGAGACGGTTAGACTTGTCAGTCAGTCATACACCCTCCCACACACCCAGAGTACCAGATCTGTTTCTCGGCCCTCCTGAGGTTGAAAGGGGCTCAAACCAGACTTTTATTTTCGGGTCCATTTTAATTAAGAAATGTCTTTCTCACCTGCTCACTTAACCTTTTCTCCCTATCGCCTCCTCTTTTCTTTATCGCCGCCTTGTATGTCCGTTGCCTACTCGTCCTCTCATCACCTCCTTGCCTCCTTGTCTCCTTGTCACCTTGTCTGCTTGTTGCCTCATTGCGTCCTTGTTACTTCCTTGACGCCTCCTTGTCTCCTCGTCGCCTGCTCATTGCCTCCTTGCCTACTAATCATTGCCTCCTTGCTGCCTCCTTGTCTCCTATTTGCTTCCTTTTCGCCTCCTTGCCTCATTGTCATTGTCTCCTTGCTGCCTCCTTGTCTCCTATTTGCTTCCTTTTCGCCTCCTTGCCTCATTGTTACCTCCTCATTGTCTCCTTGCTTCTTTGTCTGCTCATTTCCTCCTCGTCTCCTTGTTGATTCCGTCTCATCTTCTACTTACCTACTCCTTGCCGCTTTGTCTGCTCATTGCCTCCTTGCCTGCTCATTGCCTCCTTGCCTAGTTGTCTCCTTGTCACCCCCTTGTCTGCTTGTTACCTCCTCGTCCCTTCCTTTTCTCCTCATCTCCTATCTATTCATCACCTCTTTGCCTCTGTCTCCTCGTTATCTCCTCATCGCCCCTTTGCCTCTTTGTTTCTTCACTGACTCTCTGTCTGCTCATTTCCTCCTTGCCTACTCGTCGCCTCCTTGGACAGCTCAGTGCTGGCTATGCGGTGGCACATCAAACAGACCAGGGGTATGAGACAATAGTTCAGGAGAGACTGCAGGGAGCTCAGTCAGCACAGAGGGCTGAGGTAAGGACCCTAATTGCAGCCCTACAGTGGGCTGAAGGAAGAAAAGTCACCATTTTCACTGACTCAGCTTATGCTTTTGGAGCAGTGCACGTGGAGCTGGCTCAGTGGATGAGAGGAGGTTTTTTAACAGCAAATGGAAAGCCAATTAAACATGAAAAAGACATGAAAGAACTAGCAACAGCCTTGATGTTACCTGCAAAGGTAGCCATCGTAAAGTGTAAAGGACATGACACAGAGACATCAAACACGGCCAGAGGAAACTCTCAGGCCGACCAGGAGGCCAAGAG